TAACGCCTATATCGCCGATGACGCCCATGAACTACATGGATCCCAACAATTCTATGATGTCCCAATATTCGACGAACCAAGTTAGCCCCATGGATCCGACACACTCTGCGAACCCCATGAGCTCGATAAGTCCAACAAGTGCCACGCATCTGGCAAACCCTATGGACCGGATGAACCCAACGTACCCAGTGGACCCCATGAGCACGGCCAACCCAACACAGTACATGATCCCTGATAATCAGACAGGTTTCAATTTCTCAACTGGCCAAGCTGATCCCATGCCCATGTACTCAGTCTATCCAATGGACCCCATGGGTTCGGCAAACACAACAGACTCCATGACCTCGAGTAACCAGGCAGGTATGATGAACTCAACTCATCAAGCTGAGCCAACAAGCGCAATGTACCCAGCGGATCCTACAAATTGGGGAAATCCTGTGGACCCTGCTCCCGCGACTGTTACAAGTACACAACAGTCCGCGAGCTCGGCAGACTCAAGGAAGTCTACGAATACGATGGACCCCCCGCCAGTACCAGCTTCAGCACAAGCACAGACGGACACTCCAAGGAATACCAGTAAAGGCAAGTCGCGTAAGAAGTCCAATCCAATTCAACTCAACCATGCAATGGATGAGGGACTTGCGCAACCGAACCGGAGCCTATCAAACTACCTGCTCACTGTCATACCTCTTCAGGATGAGGACAAACCTCTCCTTGAGCACTTTGTTGATAACGTGGTGCGGGTAGTACTTCCCATTCCAGAGATCTACCCCGGGAATCAGACACACGTGACGGAGATTGTGAACTCGCTGCAGAATAACCGTGCATACCTCCATTGTTGCCTCAGCGCATCCGCCATTCATCTCAAGGCCTGCAGACGGCTGGAGGATCAGGTGGATCCTGAGATCATGGACCATCGTTTCACTGCCATCTCCCAGCTTTCACGAGCATTATTACGGGGTAACGGGGACATGCATGTCCTGAATGGCACGCTCGCTCTGATTTTCTTCTACAGTGCCGTCAGCAGCCCGGAGGATTATCTTCCCGATATTTCATGGACTCATCACTTCACCGCGGTATGGAATCTCGTCAAGAAGCTGGATCGCCCACCATCTCCATTTAATGTCTCTCTGATTGCCTGGATCGATATCCTGGGGTCTACCATGGTGGGAAGGACTCCCGCCTTTTCACATACGTATCGCACAAAGAACATGCGGGGCATCAGTTCAGGGCTTGAACGACTCATGGGCTGTGATGATCGCATCATGTACTTGATCTCGGAGATTGCGTGTCTTGAGGATCTGATCGCTGATCCTTCAGCCGGGATGGTGGAAGCTGAAATGAGGAAACAGTTCGCGGATCTCATTGCACAGTTAAGCTGGACCGAACCGCCCAACAAGAACTTCGAGAATGTCTTCGCCGGTAGCGGAAAGATTAAGCCAGACAAGCTGACGAAGCTTATAAGTGGGATCTTCCGGACTGCTGCCCGCATCTATCTCTACAGTGTTATGCCCGGGTTCAATTACCACGATGGTACGATCATGAATTTGGTCGGCTCTATTGCGGATACTCTTTCGTACATCCCGTCAGGCCCTCACGGTTTCGATCGCTGTCTCGCATGGCCATTGTTCATGGCAGGAGTACATTCCGTGTCATCCAGTCATTTCCGCAGGGTCTTGACAGAAAGGGTAGCAGCTCTGGGCTACAAAGGGAGGTTTGGTAGTTTCGGCCAGATGTATCGGATCCTGAAAGAAGTCTGGAAGGCAACAGATGGACCCCTCACTACTCCTGAGAATGTCAACCAGGCTCAGCAAGCAGGTCCGTCTTCGTCTCAACTTGCCAGATATGATGAAGCTATTGAGTTGGAAGTATCCTTGGGGCATACGCCTCTCTGGCGGGCGATCATGAAGCACAAGAAATGGGAGTTCTTGATCATGTAAGATGCGCCGTGGGGACGGATATGGTCGATGGATCACGCAAATCAGGGAACAAAAGTGATGCGAAAGACATTGGGAACAGACAGGTAAGTAAGGCAAGACTGACAGTGCCAGCACTTCGTCTAACTAAACTTGGGTGGAATTCTGATTATATATCATCATTGGTGTGAGACGCTAGATCTCGCGTTTGGGAGTTATTCAGAAGGCTGATCCTCGCTGGGTTTTCTTCCATGACTGCTTTTTCACGTCTATGGTGCCACTTTGCTTTTCTCCTGCTGATTATTGCTGCTGCGTCTCTTGACTTGAGAGAGTACAGTTGATCTGATTTGGTTTTCTTTCCTTGCCACGCTCATTCATCCGCCATCAAATGCTAGCTAGCTGGTCTATGACTTTTGTTGGTCCGCGTTGTGCTGCATTCTGCTTTGCTGCTTCGTCCTGGTCGATGTTATACTTGCCTGGTCGCCCGCTACCACGCAATGTTTCTGTTCTTATTTTATTTTTCATTTCTTTCTTCCCTGTTCGGCGTTGTTGGCTGGTGTCGACTGCCCCCCTACATTCATTGATGACTTCTAGATGAAGCTGGTGTATTTCGCTTGATTCCCTTACATTTCTTTTTATTCTTATTTTTCTTCTCCTCTTTTTATATATATCCGGCTTCTACTCTCTACACTCACGTCATCCTCTATACTCTTCACATTCACGCTTTTCTCCCGAATTCTTTCTTCTCTTCTTCTACTCTATACATTTTTTTTTCTTTCTATATATACATTCCTATACCCTCGTTACGACCGCAGCTACGCATTGATGATTGCCTATGATGTGATTATTATTCGTTGTTAGTCCACTTCATGTGATTTTGGAGTTAGCTTGTCTCAGTGCAGAAGGACCGTAGTACGTAGAATAACTCAAGATAGTAGTAGCCAATCTCCCACCATCGACCGACTACCGGAATCAATTGATCGTGATCATAATCCTATCTCCACGCATTATACACAACACATCAAAAACCCAATTATCCTTTCTCGCAACTCCGAAAGTGTCTGAAAGAATACTACGCTGAGATACATACCTTGTCAAATTCCTTCCTGCCACTACTCAATCGCTAGAACCCCTCTTCCCCTCCCCAAAATTCCTCCTCTTCTTCCTCCCACCCACCTATCTCTTTCCTATCTGCAAATCAGAGACCTCGCAGGATTACAATCGGAAAGGAAAGCTAAAAAGAGTCAAACAATAATGGAAAATTCTCAAATCTTATAGATCTAACATATCTCCACTACTAGCAGCATTCCAGTAAGTATTTTACGTACCATCTCAATTACCCACGCAAACACAATAACTTACTTCAGTGACGCAAACAGTGTCGGTACCACCCAGTGACGTATCACCATAACCATAGTTGGCAACACAAGAATCCTAAGTACCCTGTTAAGAACGTAGGTAAGCGCGTAACAAAGTCCCAAGCACGTATCATCTCCTAGCGAAACGCCCAGATCCATACCTCTAGCCGCGCGGACAGCGACCCAGCCTCAAACGACAACCCACTAACAACTAACAACCTAATCCAGTGACCAATGCGTACTTTCCACGCGGCTGGAACGTTGGACAAGAACAAGGGGCCTTGTTCTTAATGAGAAGCTAGAAGGGCAGGATTGGGTGCTGTTGGGGTCTGTGGGATATCTGATTGGTTGGGGAGTGTGGCTCGAGCACGTGGTGGGACTTAGATCCTGGAGGATTTGGGCATTCCTTAGCCTCCTTCGCCGAGGGCTGAGGCCACTTGCAAATGGCTTGCTTATCTACTGTGTGTTGAGGCTAGGTAGGAGACTTAGGAAGGGTTTGACAGAGAGAATCTGTTGATCTGTTACCTCTATAGATGATATGTTTTCTTGGACTGGAGGAGGGTTATTGGGAGGGTCATGAGGGTCATGATGGTCATGGCATTTGAAGGCTAACAGTACTCTCTAGGAGTCATGCAACTCTAGATCCGGAAAATACAACTAGAAAAACAGTAAGAGACACGAAGGATTCACAAACAAGCCAAACTTAAACGAATGCAAGCGTCAAAATCTCACAACGCCATTCCAGCGGTACCAGACACGTTATGCATACCCGACACCATAGTACAACGAAGGAAACCCACGCAAGAAAAATCATGTATCGCCAACCGTGTAGAATGCTGCCTTGAGTCGTGCTAGACAAAGAATTCTCCAGGACTCTTGTCTGACGTAAAATAGGAAGAAAAGGAAAACTGAGGTGATATCGCCTATGTAGTGCGGCGATTGACGTTCTTCCTCCGCTTGCCCAGCGGTGGTGGGTCGAGCTGAGGTGTCCGTTTATACGTGATGGTAGTGGTCACGATATGGCGCACACAAAAGGTGTTTCCATTCTCACTGACGGGTGATTCGAAGAAGCGCTGTCTCCGGTCTGATGGAGTAAAAGGGGAACGGAGGGGGTGTGCACTCCGCGGGGACGCAGACACTGGGGTATAGAGGTATGGTGCAGGAAGGCGCATGCGCTGGGCATGAATAGGACTTTTAGTAGGCCGTGCAACCCGAGGTGCTTGGGTAGGCACGGTAGCAGTGATGGCCTTGGGTGAATTTCCGCTTGGGAAGGTAGCAGATGTAGCAGTGAGAGGTGGGGACGAGGGAGAAGGACGAGGCTTGTCGGACATGTACTTGTAAAAATTCTCTCGAGAATTCGCAGAACTCGAAAAGATTGGACTGAAAGTGTTGATAAATTCTGTGTAGGCCGGTGGAGGAGTGATGGTGACATTCTCGACCTTCTCGGTCTCGACGTCTTTTCCTTCCTCTTTGATCGGTCTGTCTATGTCAAGGCATGTCCAGGTCCGTTCCCGAAGCTCGGAGGGAAAGGTCATGTTCTTCGGCGTGTATAGGGGTGGGAGAACTGGCTTTGTTGGACCCATCTTGGACGGAGTAGAGGTAGTTATCTCCGTCAGAGAGGGTGTGGGGAGGTCAATGACGTGAAGGCTGAGAAGGAGGTTGAGTGTGGAGAGCTGGCCAGCCGGCTTCTTAAGTAATCGAAGGGAGTTGTGGCTCGATTTTGATGGATACAGGAGCAGGAAACGAGCAGCTTTATCTAGGCAGGGGCGAACAGGGGGGAAAGACAAGAACTCGGTGGCTTCCAGGAAGCGACAGGATCTGGATAGCAGTCAGAACCATATACATCCGTAAGATATCGGTCATAAACGTACCAATTCTGTACCAGACAGTATCAATATTACAGCTCGGTAAGGATGGCCGTAGGGTCGTATATTACCTAACCCGACCTGGTTAGTACGCTCAGCTGTTTAAAATAGCAACACATGAGCCACCACCCACCCATCCACTTACTACACGAGCACGCTCGGTCTAAGAGCAAAATAAGAACAGGCCGCAGTTGAATGAACTATAGCACAGCCCGGATTTGAAGTAGGTTGGCCCTATGCCGGGATCGACGTGGCAAAAAATAACAAGATTCTGAGATGATCCCGTTGAGCTAGCAGAGATGCACAGTCCAGCTGATACCACCTCGAATTCTGAGCGAAAGAATGGGACCAGGAGAGGACAAAGACAATGTAGATGATATTGAGAAGCAAATTAAGTCAGGGTTTCCAGGCATTTTATATCTTTCCTCCCGAAGCATCCCTTCCAAATGTGAGCAGCAAAGGGGATGTCTCCAGCATTGTCGCGCGCCATCTGAATCATGTCCTGTCTCTGCGTCTTCTTCTCCAGAGATCTTGACGGCTATCTTGCACATCCCACTCGCTCAGGGCCTCAGAGTCGTTTGTTGCAGCATCGCGCGCGGTTCTACGTCCACTGCTGGGCTCGGTTGTCGTCGCAACCAGAGAAGGGTAGGGGAAATCCCAAACGTGTTCCTGCAGGACTACCGACGCAAATGGTATAGCTTGCAGAAGATTATCCATGGTTGTCAGCATCATAAACGCCTTCGAGGGGCTGTGTTCCAATCACCGAGCAGAGATAGCATCTTGCTGTTGAGATAATGGTTTCGACCGGATGCCCCTTACATCTGGAGCTTGGAGACATGGCGCTTTGCGGAGGCGGGAGTGGACCCTAGTAGAGATATCGAACGACGATGAAGTTTCACACGGGCTGTCCGCGATGAAATAGAAATCCTTGGTCGTCATGCCATTCTGAGAAGAACCAGAGCGGCAAAGATCTTTTGTTTTATTCCAGAGCGCCGACTTATCTCTCATTTCGATGGCCACAACATATCACACACGCCAAAAATGTGATATCTACTTATGTCACTTAGCGCTGAGCGGGTGGAGTTAAGCGCTTGCGCTCCCACTTTCTTCAATCCTATGCTACATTGTGTACTACGCGGCTTGGCATGATTACTCACTGGTAGCTCTTGGCTCTTTCCAGCCTCGTGAGTACCGATACGCCTCAATCTATAAGATCCTAATCTCTCTGGATCAAGGGTACAATGACTCTGAACCGTATCCTCTGTGACAATAACTCGCCTACTTTTGCACCAGGGCCCAAAGCCACATTTGAGCGACAGTATTAAAAACATGCACATAGACCCCATGTAGCAGCTAGCGGGCGCTTCAGTGAGCAGCTACTGTATCATAGCGTGCATTGCGATTGGATCATGGGTGAGTAGCTATAAACAGCAACATCGGCTACATGGCTGCATCATACAGCATCTCCATGTATGCTGCAGCGCTGAACATAAATACACACCAATCATGTTCTGATCTCTCAAAGCAAGAACGATGGGTTAGCGCAGATGCTAAATCTGTGACGGTCCATGTTCTAAAAGCTCGTCGTTCCAATCAGGCGGGGGATTAAGCGCTGAGGGGATATTCTTGGCAACTGACCACCCCGACGGATACTAAGATTAGATCTGCCGCCGTTCTAAGAATATGATCCCTGCAGATCCAGGCTATTTTTGGACTCCTGCACGCTATCTCAACCTCATAACTACATGCTACTATCTATTCGATGCTGGCAGCACTCCCAATGTTGGGGAAGGCTGCTTAGATGACTTATTATATGAGGTCCATTCTATTCCTCCGCAATGCACTCCTTCATCGACCTGGAAAGGGTATCCAAAAGGCCTCGTTCATCCGGCTTGAATCACTCAATTATAACTTTATACACGGACTCGTTCGACTATCAAACCAGCACGCAACTCTGATGACGGTGCGTCTTCTATCAGCCAATACGAAAGCAGCACGAGGCGTCCCGCTGATCAAGGCCTCTCTCGTACTAACCTAATGGCAAATAGCCCTCCGTTTAGACCAGAATCTCCGTCCCCCTCCTCCGCAACCCACCTCCAGAACAAGCTGATCAATAGCTGACTAGTGCTCGACTCTGTCACACGAAGGCTCTTATTGAACTAATTGAACTCTGATTCAACTCATTCACGCAGTCAGGGTCACTTTCCTTCGTTCTATTCTTGTCTGTTTTCCTCGGGGCTGCTTGAGGTGCATGGGGTCCTTCCGCGCTTATGATACTGCTAACTTATCTTATTGATCAATCACAGGGCGTCTTTGTTCGCTAGTCAGGTAAAGTTCCCTGTCGGCTCGGAAAGCTCGACATTCACGCTACTTTACTTACATATTTCTAAACCCATCACACCGGCTTAGAGCCTTTTTGTCTCCACCATCAGCACGAACTACGCCTATCGAGGAGTGTTCCCCGCCATGAGACTGTTAATTATAGATCATACTATCCGCTCAGCGCTTGCATCACTCCCTTTCCGCCCCTCTTCCCTCCCTACCCATCCTGCTTAAGCTATACATATCTCTACCCTACTCGTCTTTCCTTGTATTGTCTGTACGATACTGTATCATACGGTCAGGGATCCCTCCCCCTTCCCCTACATTAGTCGGGTGTCCGCTTCCATGACAGTCGTCTACTTCCTCATGTTTAGTGCTACTGTGCACCCACATTTCTAAAATTGGATCCGATCTGCTTTGGCGTCTGTGATGATGTTCTCATTCCTACTCTCGTGGCGCTTCTATCACAGAAGATCATGATACGTTGTTCATTTCATCACTGTCCTGCTCCCCGCTTGGCCCGGCCCTGTACCAAGGCTGCCTATGGCGGCAGTCACCATCATGTCCTACTTTCAGTTATCTCTGTCATCTAGACTAATGAGTAACAGGATGCTTTCATTACGTCAATCATCAGAATATCCTGGGTGGGATAATGAGTCGTGACCCTACAATCGACGAGAGCATTGAGGGACACTGACCCCGCAAGGTATGTGTCCTTCGTCGTTAAAGATCCGCATTTGCTAAAGGAGCTTCACCCTCAGCGGCAATTGTGACTATTCAAGTCAATTTCTCACACTAAGCTAACCGAGAGTGCAATGGCTCCAGTAGATATCCAAGTTCCTGCATCAAAGCTCATTTGGACTTGGTGTCGAATTCTTGGTTCGATGCCTCGGTTTATACCCTGCACTACCCCACTCTCACTCAGGCCCAAGTCTAAAGCATCTAAGCTGCTTGGCTCACATACAGCATGGAATTCTCTCCAAAAGTTCCCAAGTAGTAATCCATCTATGGTGCATTCGGCTTCGTACTACAACGGATTAGACCTTGCTCAGCCAGTGTAGCAGTAACCCCATCATCACTGGTTCTCTTTTCACTCTTCACAATCCCGTCACTACGATTTACTTATCACATTTTCGTGAAACCAGCCAATGGGGTGCTAGTTGCACGTGTCTCGAGGTCTACTCATACTGACTCATCGTCCCGGGACTTAACGTAACGTAATCAACGGTCGAACGGGCCACACGGTCAGGCGGGCCATCCTGAAATCCCATATAAAAGATGTCTTTTTGATTCTATTATATATCAACCAGTACTACTTCTATGAAGCTCTAACTTTGTAGATAGTTTATATATATAAGAATAAGTATTCCATGAATTTTTCAGATTTTTAGAATTTTTACTTTGATAATGAAACCAGATTCTTATATAATACATATAAATACAGATATTGTAATATGATAAGTCCATAAGTAAAAGTATATTCATTTTTAGAAGGTATATAGATATTATTTATATTATTTAAAATCTATATAGAAGAAATCTAATTCTTCTAGACCTGGATGGTAGAGATATATTATGTTTAAAAAGATATCTTTTGTATAGTATTACCAGATGGCCCGCCTGACCGTGTGGCCCGTCCGACCGTTGATTACGTAATCAACGGTCGGGCGGGCCACACGGTCAGGCGGGCCACTCCCGGTAGGATTACCCGATATGATCAAAATGAGGCCTCTAAATCAACATAAATGCTTGTAAAAACAGCTATCTAACTAATTAGTAGGTGGTTTAGAACACTGTGTACGTCGGTGGCCTATATTGAAGCAATTACTGCAGCGTGGAGGCGCGCGCGAGGGGGTCTCCGTATATTGAGATTGGGGTTCAACCTCAATATCTTCATCATTCTGCACCTCTTCCACTTCCTGTATAGCTCTCTGGGCCTCTTCAACGGTAGTGCCTTCTGTATAGATCACCTGCTTCCTTGAACGCTTCCTCTTTTGTAGTTGCTTTTCATGGCTAGCACGTAATTCCGCATTCTCCTTAGCCAGTATGATTGAGTTTGTTATTGCTAGTTCACACCCTTTGAGAAGCTGACGTAGTGTAGAGTTTGTAGGTGAAGTTGGACTTGCTTGCCGTTTCCGAAGTAGGCGTTCCACTGATTTTTGATGCTTCAAAAGGTGTTTTATATTATGTGGTGTTTGAAGCACTGAGCCACTTGACTGGCTATCCGGGGTTGGTGGTGTTTTCAAGCGAATATGGAGTCGAGAAAGCACTTGATCAGGATCTAGAGGAACAAGACCTGTTGCTCTAAAACCACTGATTATATTCGACTTTGATAAAGCACACTGGTGAGCTTTAGGATAGACCTCTAAGAAGTCAAGCTTGTCGATATGATTGCGGCCGTATTGCATCTGCTTTTGAACCATGCCTCCGTACGTGCGTTTAAGCACACTAAAACAACCAACATCAAGAGGCTGAAGTAGATGGGACGAATGAGCAGGCATACAAATAGGTATAACCTCATTTTCAGCACAGGATTGGTCGAATTCAGGTGTCAAATGACTACCGTGGCCATCGAGGACTAGGAGGCTATATTTGCCTACTGATTTGCCTCTAATCAAGGGAATGAAGTGTTTTTGAAGCCATCGAAGTCCAATTTTATCAGTAGTCCAACCATTATCACTGACTTCAAATCTCCAGGTAGGAGGAATAGATTGACCTTCATACCATGCCTTTAGATGTGTTTTGCCTTTAAAGATCAGGGTCGAAGGTAGAACCTCTCCATTAGAGCGAATACACTCAATTGCAGTGACCCATTCCCGATTCCCTGGTTGAACTAGGGACGGCCGACCTGCCCTCTGGGAACTAGTTACTACTTTATATGTAGCAATCATTCCCATAGCAAACCCTGTTTCATCGAAATTGTATATATCATCTGATGAGATCCCGTACTCTTGAATAACTTCCTGTACGCGTTTGAACCAGTCTTTTATAACTTCAGGATCCTCCATTTTAGCTCTTTGATAGTTGAGTCGTCTAGCAAATCGAGTTCGTAGGGATTCGTGGCGTTTAACAAAGCTATAAGCCCAGTTGATGCCTACTTGTTCAACAGTTGAATAACCTCGTTTAGAGATAATCAAATTAGCCATATCTCTGATATCAAGTGGCCGGGGGCTTGCTCCTCGCTTATCTAGAGATAGGATCCATTTAACAAGCGATTCCTCTTCATTATTTGACAATTTTTGACGTGCGTTGGTCATATTTTTAGCGAAAACACGTCCAGATAATCGAGCCTGGAGAGTAGTTCGAGCGACGTCATAAACACGCGCTGCTTCACGAATACTAGTGATTTGGCCTTTCTGAATAGCTTCAATGGCAAGAAGAATCCTGCCTTCCTGCTCCACCTGCGATTTTGATGGGATAGATGCTTTTGGTGGCATTTGTGGTGGTTGAAAAGCCTCGGGTAGGTGATTCAAGGTGGTGTTTTCGAAGGGGTGGCCCGCCTGACCGTGTGGCCCGCCCGACCGTTGATTACGTTATCCCATGCCCCTGCTTACCAAGCAGTAAATAATATGTCAAACCAGCCATTCATCCAAATTTATTATTATCAGAAGCTCTAAAGCACTTTCCCCACCATGAGCTGCACCACATAATTCTACTACTCACAGAGATGTATCCACTGCTCTGAATCTTGTCATCTACCCTGCATCATCCTCGTATACCTCACCTACGATACCTGTTCTCCTTCCATTCGCTCGCCTCTTTCGTCCCTCTCTCCTTCCCCATTACAATAGATACCTTAGAACAACCTGCCGTATCCGCTAACAGATTCCCCTAAGCACGTAGCTGTTAGCCATATTTCTCTAACATCAAACGACAGCCCACTTTGTCTCTCCCATCTATCACAAGTACCTAAGGCCCATCCCATTCCATCCACATCGCCCACATCATCAAACAATGGAGCCTTATCATCTTTCCCCTCCATCCAGTACTATACCCACCACCTTCCAACCCGAGCACACATTATCTATCCTTAGGATCCCCAGCACCTCACCATCTCACTCCCACACAGCCAAATCCCAGCCCCCGCCGCTCTCACATCTATCAGCATCCAATAACACTCACGCCATCCATTTCAATCTTCTCAATCATACCTACCCTACTTACCACCTCATCTCCACCAATCGTATCCAATCTAATTACCCATTCCAACACATCACAGAGCGCATGTTATCTCATCCACGTGAAAGCGTGGATATTAGCCTCATCAGAACAAGACAATGGAAGGTGATTGGTAAGATATACCTATTCTTCTACAAGAACAGGTAGTCAGGAAAAGTACATTGACCGAGACAGGGAAAAAGTTAATGTCATTGTTATGTTGACCGAAGTAACCAGCTTATGGAGTGTGCGCGTGTGCTGGGAAAGCAGTCATCCATCATTGAGATGTATCTGGACGATTAGAGAGTAATGCTACATATTTTAGATTTGCATTATAATGTCAGATTTCTACGCCCCTATATAGATTAGTGAGCGCCCAGAACTCATTTAGTCGAGTCATGATGTGCAGAATATACGCTGCTCTGCGGGCAAGTCCACTACTGGGGCAGTTGACTGGTGAGCATGACTCTTATGCTAATCAAGTGGGATTCTGACTACAGCACAAGCAAGAACTTTAAAACTCAGATGCATCGCCCGATTATTCAATTGAGAGTAGACTAGTACAAAAACGTCATGAATGCCACCCATATCCCAAGAGCCGTAAATCATTCAAATCCAACCCATATACCAACAGCCTATTAGTTAATACCGGGACCTGCTATATACATAAGGTCCCACTAGATGTACAAGGAAACAATCAAAAATAATCAAACCGTGGTATCATGTCGCACAGTCGTGGTGAACAGAGTGGTATCATAATCGAGAAGATAAAAAAGCGATGAAATCGAAAGGAACGCATCGAGGGACTTGAACCGCATCCGAGATGAAAGAAAAAAAAGATTAGCTGAAAGAGTCATCACATTTACTCTTCAGTCAACGCGTCATCTCCAGTCTCGCGCCATTCCTTGGATCGTTCGGTCAGGCGTCGCACACCGGCCACACGCTGGGCCCAGTGTGCCTCAGACGGCGATCGGAAAGTATAGGCCCTTTGCGAGGAGATCACGCCGATGCCTTGTAACACCGCCTTGCGAGAGTCTCTAGAGAACACCGCAGGATGGTTGATCCATTCCAGCGCCGACTGCAGGTCTGCGTCCAATGCCGTCATGGTCTGACCATCGACTGCAGACACAGAAGTGATGGTCGCCGTGTCCGAAGCCGCCGACGAGTGGCCGTCGAACATAGACGACTTGGGTGAAGAAGAGGTAGGAGTGTCTGCTCGGCTACCGGAGTCGCTGGTACCCGCTGGCCTGGGGCCGGGGGGTAGAGGAGGAAGACCACCCTTGCCTAGGCCCTTCAGGATACTGCGAGTCTCGGTCAACAAGTGCTGCGCACGGTCATGCTGCCCACGGGACACCAAGGTCAAGGCCCGCGTCAGCATGTCGGACGTCAGAAGCTCCATCCGTCGTTGAACGATGGATGGATGAGGAGGGATGGGTGGGCTAGACGGACGACCAGGTTTAGCCTTCGGGTTAGGTGGAAGCATAGTAATGGCCAAAAGCGACGGTCGCGGAGAATGAGTGAGATGGCCTTCCCGCAGGAAGTCGCCATAGGTCAGATCTGCCTGGATCAGAGGAACCTCCTCAACGCTTGCCACGCGTTGATCATCACCATCAGACATACCCCCCAGTGCCTCTAGTCCTGACACCAGGCTCTCCCAGGCATCTTGAGGCGTAAGGTCTTGCGTGGAGTTGTCAGGAGGGATAACAAGCTGGACCAGAACGTCACGCTTGTCGCCAAAGCGCAAGTCTCCAAGAGCTGCCTCCGCATCACGGCCAGTAGCCCGTTTTGTTGTATGCAGTGCTCCACTGATCTTCACGAACTTGGCAGGAGAGCCCTCTGGCAGACGAAGCTTTAGCTTCACGTTCTGGTGGGAGGTAGTCTGCAGTGCACCCAAACAACCAGCGACACACTCCCGAAGCATCATCCAGTCCTTCACATAGACGTATGAGCCTTTGGTCCGAGTAGAGAGTTCGATGATAGTGTCCGGTTTGTGGGTTAATCCAAGGCCGAAGGAATGAATATTAACCCTGCAGGCAATCAGTAAATCGTCGGTTGAGCTAAGAATCGAGGATGACTTACTTGGCAGCTTCAGCCCTGGACACAACGAAATCGACGCTATCGGGATCGGAGGTGGAAGTATCACTAATTAGAAGGATGGTAGAGATGGGATTCGACGACTTCCGTTGCATGAGCAAGTCCATAGCCACGTTAGCACCCTCGACCACATCTGCACGCAGACTCTTCTGTCCGACAGGTCTGATGGACTCAAGGATCTTGGGCCATCCACCCCAGGACTTTGTAGTCATTCCCACTATTGGGACGCCTCCACTGCTCGAACCGAACGTCACCAGTCCCATACGGTCGCGAGGGCCAAGGCTTTGTACGAGGAACCTGAGCGCATCCCGAAGGAGCGTGATCTTCAATCCTTGCATGGAAGAAGAAACTGGAATCACGACTACAAGGTCGAGGGGTATATGGATAGATGGCGCTGGGCTCTCGGTGCCCATGTTCGTGTAGTCGGTAATAGCCGTGTTGATTGATCGGGCTGCTCCGTAAGACGAGTTGATCGAGGCCTGGCGTCTGATAGGATTGTTCCGGTATTCCTCCTCCTCTGCGCCAGAGTTGTCATAGTCGTAATCGTTGTTCGGAGACGTGCTCTCCATGGGATGAAGGTCGAGGAGGGAACGGCGCCAGAGCTCTAACTGACTGCGGTTCGGGAAACGAAGGTAGAAGCAGGGAAGCTCACTGACAGACAGGTTCAGTGCAAGGATAGGCTCGTCTGCGGCAGCTTCCATGCTGTTGAGGTGCTTCTTGATGAGAATAGAGCCCTTTAGTGTGCACCGGGTTGGCTTCGGCTTAGACTGATCATCGTCATATGAACGGCGCTGGGTGTTCTTCTTCTCCTTGACGCAGATAAGCATTTCTCCGAAGAGATAGCATTCCAGTTCCTGCCAGGATGTACGATCCTTTCCCACACTCATGTGGCCGTGCAAGCGGAGCTTTCCAAACCTGGGTTTCCGTCAGCGTTGCAATGTTGTAACGGCCGCATTGAGCCACCTACCGGTTGAATTCTAGGCCGTGCCAGTTGTCCACCTTGTTCCGCAGATCCTCTGCCAGATCGTCCAGGTTCTCCTGGCTTTCATGAGGAATTGGTTTTGGCTCCTGGTTAGGGGGGAAACGCATTGCGCCGTAAGGTTCGTCTTGGGGCTGGTCTTTGCCATTCGCAGTAAGGTCGCTTGCATCGGGCTGCCAGCTGCCCTCAGGCACTTCTACCGTTATCAGGCATGTTAAAGACTGCTGCTGGCGTGAGCGATTAAGCGTCGGGAACTCGCTGCGGATAGTCACCGTTGGCGCCGGGATGGGATTCTTCGTGACAGCGGGACGGGGGCTGAGGTCAGACTCCATAGCTTGCACGTCATAATCATGGCGTCTTCCATTGGCGGCATGCTGATGCGACTCATTGTAATCGGATGAACCAGCAACACTTCCGTTCCGCGAGTGGTGTTGGCGGGAACCCATGGTCAGACGTTCGACCCGTTCGCGGTGGCTGCTATTGTCGCGGCTGTCACGTCTGACGTAAGTATCCCGACTGTCACGGTTAAGGGGCCGGCTTCCTGCATGACTTCCAGCATCACTGGGCCGTCGTGCTTGAGCTGGGACAGGTTCCCAGGGAGGAAGATTAGACATGCCACTTCGATGAGTCGCAGCATCGCTAGTCACAGAGCGGACAATATTGCTGAGTTTCTCTGCATGCGGTAATGATCAGCACAGCCGTTCTTCCGATCCCTGCAAGGGAGAGAACACCTACCGAGATCCAGCATATTTCCCCCACGGCTAGTATCAAGCCCTAACGGCGCATCGCATGTTGGGCAGTACTGGCCCTCGAATTCGCGAATATATTCATAAAAGCAGGCTTCATGTGAGACATGAGTGCAGGAGAATTGGAGAACACGTTCACCGCGCAAGGTATGTTCCAGTGGCTCGTCGCAGATGGCGCACTCAGTGCCGACGAACGTTCTGTCTCTCCGCGTCCGAGTGCGGTCAACATCCATTAAGCCCGCCATTGGCCTGCCTGACCTGGAGTTGAAGGACACACGCGACGAGTTGTGGGAATCAGACGGCCAGCCGGGGTCTTGTTGGCTGGAATAGACGGAGTTGTTTGTGGCAGAGGGAGCGCGAGACCGGGCAGTATGAGCAGAGTAACCGGTTTCAGGGCGCTCTAGAGGTATATAGGTAAAGGTTCGGGGTGGCGGAGGTGGCGAACGAGATTTGGAATTAGAAAAGAAGTCTGCCAATATATTGGATTTGTCACGGTCAGTGGGGATGAAGTGAGAGGGAAGGCCAGGTGAAGAGCAGAGGCCAAGACGGACGACGGCAAAGACAAGGCAATGCGATGCAGTCGTCTCACATAACACCAGTGTAGGAGGTTTGAGAAATGAGTCAACGTTTTCTAATTCACGTGCTGGCCCCGAGGAGGGTATAGCAATGAATGAACTGTAAATGGACAAAGGACAATAAAAGGTCCTGAGAGCTCAAGAAGGAAACGAACGAGGGAGCAGCTCCAGCAAGAAAAAAAGAGGAGAGACAGTAAGAGAAAGAGAGATAAGGAGGGAAAAGGAGAGTGGATGGCAGACAGCAACCAGAAGAAACAGAAAGAAAGGCAAAAAGTGTAAATGATAACCAGAATAAGAAGGACAATAATAATATAAGATTCAGCAGCCGAAAGTTAAGAAGAATCAAGAGTAACACTAGTACGAGACACTATACTTACGGAGCGGAGACTTCTTTTTAGGACGAGCAGTGCTGCCACGCTCGGATGTGTGAGGGCCAGAATCGTCATTCCCAGACGTGAAATCCGATCTGGGAGAGGGCCGATGTTTCCACATGGACCACGGCAAAAGAAGCTCCTGACGGATCAGGAGGACGACAGGATCAGGAAGGAGGAGGTTTTGAACTTTTGAAGAAAACAAGTAGGAGGATTTACTATTTAGGGGTGCCAAGTGGGGGGGGGGGGGGGTCAAGACGTAGTGGGGGTTGAACCTGAGAGAAACGCCCCGAGGATGGATGAGATTGACCAAGGGTGGAGGAGGATGAGTGGCTGCAGTGAGATTCACCAACAAAAAGGTTGGTTGGCCACGCGTGAGACTGGGAAGGAGGAGGGAACGAAAGGGAGGGTGTGTGTGAAGATGACGAGAATCTGGGAGAGGAGAGAGAAAGGAGAAGGCGGAACAGGAAAAGATGGAGATATCGCACTGGTGCGAACAATTTTACGACGGCGTCCGAGCCGGTTCAGCGAGGCCGTTGATAGTCGCTGGGGCGGAGCGATCAGTATTACGAGAAATGGTAATACTAACCTTTTTTTTTATTTTTCTGTGTACTATTTTATTTTGTAGTATTTAGTATCCGCTGTTACCTACTGAGTAACCACGGTTAGTTACTTTTACTACCACTAACAAGTACCATTATGCAGGACTATCTACTACTCGTTCAACATACACCAGATATAATCACATTATCCTGGTTTATATCGGGTGCTAAATACTCCATGACCTGTACTCTCTTTTCAAATGGGGTATTTCTTTCGGAACGGTATTGACACAAAAAGCCATCGGCGTATTTTGTGAATTGAAGATTACTGGTATGTAGTGGGGCCATGACCGCCGAGCCATGGATGTTTGGAGCTCACTAAACCACGCAGTGGGGCCGATCCAGGGACTGGATACATTCAGAAGTCTCAAAAGGAACGGAGTCCCGGTACGGGTAAACCTACGGTATCTGAGTACTACCCCTGAAATGCTGGAAATACTTAACCCCCTCGGACTAACGTTTCAGAGAATGAGAGCAAATGTGGTATAGAAGTCACCCTGTTAGGAAGGCGTGAGGTCATCGTGGCTGCACGATGTGGTCAGAAATGAGCTGAGAATTCTCCATGCTAAAGTTGCATCAACTATCCAACAGATATCTAAACTATTAATTTGAGTCTGAATAAACCGGGGGATCCGTCATTTTCCCATCCCTTGCATCCCTGGTAAAATGGTCCGTCCAGTCAAATGCTTCGATGCTAATGCCCTACACGGAACTTGGACATATCTTTTGCATCAATCTGCTGCCCATTATCGGAGATTTCTTTCATCATTACCATCGCCATCACTATCAGTCCAGACCAGCCACACTGAGGCTTTGGATTCTGCAGGCTCCGATGTCCACTGCCGATTATTGAGGGCTGCCTGTCAGCTGTGGATAATGAACGGCGGTTGAGTGGACTACGCCCCTCAATGAATGGCCATGAGCAGCCAAAAAAAAAAATACACGTCGAGGTTGGTGGTCTCTATTGATACTCATATATAGCGATCCTCGTTGGACCCGGCAATGGCATCCCGATAGGCTGGTGCTTTTGCACAATCCAGCAACGATTGGCCTTAATTTCGGCACTGGACTGTCGATCCTCGAACGTTTGCTGTCATGACGAGGAAGTAAATCGAGTCCCATCGAAGCGCTGTAGGCTAAGAGCAAGCGGAAAGTCCGGTTGGCATGCTTCTCCTGAGCTTGTAGGTCAGTGTTGTTATTCCCCTTTCTCCAGTAGAGAACTGAGTGTCAACCGGATACGTAAGCGGCAAGCGGTACAGCTGCATATCAACGGGATCCCCACCGTGGAAGATTTCCACCCGAAAGGTTAGTTTGTCTGGGCGGGTCGCTCCCTTCCCCTTCCAGCGTTCCTTGGGACTGTACTATACTCGCTTGGGCGTTAGTCCACTCGGTCACAATCGCTATTGAGAGAGCATTGAGTCGCCTTGGGCTTATTAAAAAACCTGGTCCATTTTCGTTCCGGAGAAACGGAGGTAACGGAGAGCGCACCACACGGACAACGGAGCAGCACGTCCTCTGGTTTTTCCATCCACTTATGCGCCAGTGACCACAGAGCGGGGAATCTTCTGAATGATGATCATCAATATGACCGACCATCGTGCTGGCTGCCTGAGGGAAGGTGCGCGCTGAAGTCCAAAAATATGTGCTGTGGAGGAACCGTGGTGCTGGTGGCGGTTCTCCCCACTTGCGCCCGATCGGAACTCGCAGTTCGGTACGGAGTAAGGTAACCAAACACCCAGAGTTACATCGTCTTGTTTCTTCCCGTATCATCAATTGGAGATTACCATGTTGCCAAAACTCTATATTGCACAACACCAGGCAGTCACAATCTAGACAGAGAAAGAGGTTGCCCGCTTGTGCAAATTGTGTTGCCACTACGTTGCACAGCTATAGAATGCCTTGTAAAGCATTGTGCTAAATGTTTTACCCCCGCCCCTAGTGAGGCCTCCCCGACCCTCTGCAGTCTACACTTGAAATCCATGCGACTATTGAACCGGACCCAAGGATTCAGCCCCCAGTCAGCAAGATTCAAGGAAATCCTAGGGGAAAAAAGCAACTCACTGGATCTTACCCTCTGCAACTCTATTTTATGACGACGGATGATCAGCCTAGGGTTCGCGCCGTAGTGGAGGATTCTCTGGTCCAGGCTAAGGAGCATAAGGCTTTCCTTGGGGGGGTGGCCGGACACGACCTCATTCACCGACTGAGGGTTTAGACGTGGGCGATCTGGCTTCTTGACGGGTATCTTTCTCATCTGAACACGGCTGCCATTTCCGAGGTTGCCTCCAAGACCACAGTCGATACGTTTGTCGATGTGGCAATATACTCCTATTTACTAGTCCCTACCGATTAACTAGTCGAAATGACAGACTACCTAGAGACGGGCTTCCACCACGGAGGCGACCTCGGTATATTAGCTTAGTACGCCATACTAAGCGCGTCGTGCACCATCATCATTTCTAGAGCTCTTAAGACTCAAAACTGAGTTAACTGCCTGTCTTTCATCCGATTGGTTGCTTAATCTACTCGATACCATGGTTGGTCCCTCGACACTTGGATACATGGCCCTTTTTCTTCGCTTTTTCCATTATTCTTCTCAACCGTGGAACCGCGATCTGTGGAAGAAGGCAAGCAAAGCTGAGCCAACCACACCGCGATCACGTTCCACAACAATCAATCTTGGGCGCTGTCAGATTCAGATGACGGCACAGTTCGCATGCGCACAGTGGAATTATTTTCACGTACATGGTACCTACAGATCTGAGGACGATCCCACCTCAACTGGCTGTTGAATGTGACTACCCGCATCTGTGTTACCTCAGCAATAAATATAATGATGCAAAATCACATAACTACCCAACATGGCCCCAACAGCACTCACTAGTTTTCAGGAACTATCGCAATGATATGCAGAAGAGTGCATTGGCCCCATAATCATGCACGGGTCTTGGGTCGGTGATGAGAGGCGCCCTCACCTGTCAGTGTTCAAAGCCCCTAGATTAGTATCCTGACTCTCCACTATCATGGCGCTCGACAGGTCAAATATCCGCCTTATGACTTCAACGGCCAGGGTCAAATCTTGGTTATGGGACCAGTCGGACAAAGAACTGATTTGGTACATGTTGTATTGGGTTAATCTAGACTGACGTTTTCTGCAAATTGATAGTTAATACGGAGTATTATCCGCTACTCTAACCGGCGCAGTTTAGGTCATGACTACGGGCGCGACCATGCTGGAAAGAGCAATCCCGATCCATTGCAATATCTACAGTAAATTACCACTCGCACCAAGCCATGACGGTGTCTACTACTTAGCTTTTTCATCCTGACTCTCTTCGGCTCCTAAGTGATTGGTAACTGGATCTAGACTAGTTCACTGTATGAAGAATACAGAAATGCTGGGGGCGGGCAGTAATAATACTCTTGTTATCGAATATCTCCCTTGAAACAATCGTGAAACCCGCTCTCCAACATCCAACATTGGGCAGAACCGCCTTGTCCGCCATGCCTTCCAAGCCCCCTTCCCCTTCCCCTTATGGTCAGGTGGGCCGAATGACACAGAAACACAGACAAAGTACCTATTTACTCCCATCGCCGCAGGCACCTGCGGGATTTGCTTTTAGGTGTGGTCTGATCACACCCGTCCTCATTGTCAGGCAATACGAAGTTAACAAGTAGTAACTACAGTAGATAGATAGATAGACACAGTAGGAAATACTACACAGTAGTGCACCTTTTTCCTTGGAATTCATGCGACTGGTCATGCCCGATGTGCACTGACTTTATGATATGTAAAAAATCCCCCTCAGCCCAGCAGCGCCACTTGCAAGGCAATTTTCATACATTTCTTTTTCTTTTTCTTTTCTTTTACCTCGATTTCTGCATATGTGTCCAATGACCTGCATCCCTTCAATCAATTAAACCCGCATACAGTAGCTCCTCTCTGCACGGACGCTTCAATTTTCAGCTCCTGCTCCTACTTCGCATTTCCCGGAATGCTCCCGACCCTGAGTGTAGTACTGACTTCGTCTTACCCCGAGTCCGGCTCCCGACATATCCAATGCAGCATTGACACCCGCACAGTCCATCCTTTGACGCAAGGTACTTCCTGTTCCCTTTCCCCTCCTGATTTCCCCATACTATATAGCTTCAATGTCTTCTAAGAAACTAAGCAAGTAGATTCGCCGACGATCTTCCGTAGATAAGTCCATTCCTCCGGCCGTATGATAACCCAGGATCGGGATTGTCGCTGGCCTAACCGTGGTTCGAGCACAAGATAGACTACTATAACCTTGCCGTGCATTTCGGAGTACCCCGTACTAGGTACTTAGTACAGTTATGGACATGTCTGAAAGTGCCAATTCTAAGCATTGATTGGCGGATTCATCTAACCCTATTATTGATTCTGGCTTTCTCACACCAATCAAAATACCTTCATTCTTATGATCCCTGTCTTTGTCAGCGGCATTGGATATAAACCTAACACTATCTCCACTGTGCGGGTTATCGTAAAAACGAGACACGGCAGGGGAAGGGAAAATAAGTACATAGGGTGTAAGTACGTACGTCATTGCTAAAGGAGGGTTTGGGTTTTCGAGACTCGAGTTGTCGGACTAAATTGTTAGACTCGAAGTTATTTTTGATAGATGTTGGGGTTGGATGGTGGTACAATATTCGGGCCCGCTTTCCGTCTAGGGATTTGTTAGCCAAGTACTCTTACTGGGTGAGTGAGTGAGGAGATTTCGCGGTGTTAGTCGCAGAGATGACTTGAATGGGTTAGAGGTTGCTGTCAGGTGTCGATCATGGGCGGATTATCTGGTTAGTTCTTGTGTGGTGAGGAATTTTTGGTCAGCACTTTACTTTGGTTTTGGTTTGTGGGATTGTTTACTCTATGTAGAACTCGGTGTCTTTTTGGGGTATTGTCGTATCCGTTTAGTCTAGATTCCAGGTTCTTATGTTTTGTTCATAGTTCCTATCACCTATTTCGACTGGATAGTGTGTAGCTGGAGATGGTGGTAGGGAATGAAAAGGGCACATGCATCATCGTAGTACTGGACACGTATGCTTGACCATCAGAAATGAATCTGTAACAAAAGTACCCTCTTCCTAGGTGATTTGCTAAATTCACATGCATTGGTTTGAGAAGCTAAGAGGACATTACCACATTGGTGCTGCTATACTTTCGGAGTGGCCGGTGCTGTCACAGATCTAAGCCATCTAGATGTTCGCAGATACCCTAGTGACTTACTACAGTCTGTGATTATTGACTTGACTGATTAAGTAGAATACTTTCATTTATTAACCATACATCATTCCAGTAGAATATCAGATAATATAATGGATCACGATTCCGCGGCAGATAGTCCAGGCATAACCATGGACGGTCTGAACTTCTGCAATGATCTTCAAATCTACCAATATTCTTCATTATGCCTCTAACTACACGACTACACAAACCCACGGTAATGCAATAATTCAGAGAGAGTATACCGTTATTCCATGAACAGAGTAACAAGGCAAGCACATACTCAACAACATATCTTCTCACTATTGCAGAACCAGCATTCTAACCGTGCCAACTTCAACCCCTCTTCTTTTTGATATCATATTGGCTTGGCAGCCTGCTAGCCATTTCTCCATCAATCAACTTACATTCTTCCGAGTATTGATGCCTCTAAAGCTAAGCATATTAACATTACAAGTCGGGGGTCTCTTTCATTTAAACCGCGCAGTTTCCTGCATCTGGACCACATCACACAGCAGTTTCAGCGAGCTGGACATGTTTCCGTAGTTCATACTAAATGGATGATCTCTTTCCGCTCTGATACAGTATGTCACACTACTTTCTCGCCATAACGTCCGCTTGCCCGAGATAATGTCCGCAATTTGTTCCGGGTCGTAGGGGATAAATGAACCAGCATGACCCACAATATGCTGTGCTCCTATGTATGTAATTCATGTAGGATATAGGGGGGATTTCGAGCTTTCCAATGCACGTGTATAATTAGCATATGCGTTTGAGAATGTATCAGTGTTGTGGTACGGGCTGGGGCTGTGAATGTTAACAGGATTCATGGTAAATGAGGGATCCCAAATAGATATGGAAGAAGTCAAAGTATATTATCTTCGAGATATTTCTTTTTACAGCTCAGTAGATAATGCGCCTACCTAATTACGGCATCGTAGACCCCTTCATCTTTCGCACTATTGGCATCTATGAAGCCTGGGCATGTCTGGCGCCAAGTCTATGTCTTAGGTAATAGGTAAATTTAGCTGAGACTTGCCAGAATGTAACATTAGCTGATGACAAGACTTAGCATTTGTCTTAGCCTAACTAATCCCTCTGGAGAGGCCCTATGGCCCGTGGGCTGCATAGGATTGGAGAGTGCTATGGTAGTAGTCTCCAGATCTAGGCCACAGTGAGTATGGAACTGACCCCGCAGTCTCCGATAATTAACCTGGGCTATATTCATACACAAATTGTTTCTTACCTCTATTAAAACACCAAATTGAGCCTAATCTCCTTTCATAGTGCAGTCGTCATTCACCCATTCTCAAATTTCCAGGGCAATAGTAGCCGACTATGGCTCTCCCCGCACGGTACACAAAGACCCAGGCATGCAGGACATAATGTGACACCAACACCACCATGCATGCATAATACCTGCAATAAACATCGATGATGTTGTCGTGCAATGCGAATTACAAATCCCCCCAAGGCTTAGGTGAATCTGTGTTACCCTAACCCATCATACGGCAAAAAGGTGAATACATGCCACTTTTGCTACTTGGTATTTCACCGATACGAGAGACCAACCATCATGGGTAAGTAACAACGCCATTGTAACATACCAAGACCATTTTCACCCGCTAACCAAACTCTATCAGCAAGAGAAACACCCCACTACAACAAACAGAGTTCACAGCTCCCAGAACACAACAAATGGGAAAATAGCCTCTGTTTTCTAGAATACCCCAGAATGCCATTAGGGTTGGCATCCGAGTCAGAGGGAGAAAAACTATTGTCGGGGAGGAGTCCAGAAAAGGCAGTATGTCCTTTTTCCTTCCGTTTCTCAACTCAATTCCCCTCAATGCTACTATGGGGTCTCTTTTTCACTCTTCTGGGTATGGAAATGAAAACGAACGCAAGTTCCAAAATTACAAATTGCAGTAATATAATCCTGGTAATGTCATCGTGATACCTTCCTACTTTGTGACTTACTTCCTCCTCCCAACACCGCTCCAGTTGGGTCAAGGCCACACACAGGCCATGATCTACACATCTGCATCCATCTCACCCGCTGACCCAAAATCTGGAATTCCGGGTTGAACAACTAATCAACTGGACGGAATGGCCCCCAAGATATACTACGCAATTAAGTTCCCGTGTATGCACCCAGCCCTGCTACGCCTTGCTCTCTCTCTCTCTCTCCTGATTCTTTCTTCCATTCTCGGGCTAAGTATTTGACTTACTAAATGGTTACACAGGGAAGCAACTAGTGCCGGTGGGAAGGTCCCCAGTGTGGGAAATCTGGAATTCCATTTCTAGCTCCGTGACGAACCATCTCCGTGCGTAAAGTAATATAGTTACTAATTTGGGTCACCTTCAGCTTATCCACTTTCTCTCGCCACGTTTCGCAAGGGGTCGGTCCCGTCTTGGGCTGAGTTGTGCTGTTTTTGCCGTCTTTCCCTAGGCTGTTGGTCCGTCTATTCCTTTGATGCTCGGATTTGAGGATTGAGCAGTCTACACTATGACTGCATTATGGGCCAATGTTGTGCCTATCTTCTAAATATCTATGTGAAGTATATATCAGCACTGCCTCCTAGGATTCAGAGTCGTGTTTGTCTGATTCGTTTCTGCGCTGTACTGTAGTCTTCTGATTCAGTGTTTACTCTTGGAATATGGCGTTTTCGCCCCATGGCAAGTTATTGATGCTGACAGTATGTAGCCAGAACAGGTTCCATGCACACATTTGATTTGGGGGCGCATCCGTCACTCTTTGCCTCTCACTGCGTTTTATTACTGAAAGCTACACAGTCACATATGTCTTCTCGACACTTCAATCGAGCCCACAACGATCGGAGATCGCGGGCCGTTGATGCTTCGCTACAGTGGGCTCTATCATGATCGCCTCGTTCCGCGCACGGGGCAGTCGAATCGGATTCAAATCCTATATCTCTGCTGGACTCGACTCCGGGTTGTATGACATCAGTTCTAAGCCTGGCCAGCTCCCTCCGTGTGCTAAATTCTCACCAATCGCGTATATGCTAGGGTATCGGCTATCGCGGGAATCCCAAGGCCCTGCAAAGCTCCCGCAGGATTCCTATCGTGGGCCGGATCTTACAAGCGTTCATGCGGATGGAATTCTAGAGGATTAGAATCCTTGCGCGTATATCTGTTGGGTAGTCAATCATTGTCGTTGGCTATCGGCCATCGTGTCAGACTGTCATGCAGTTTGCTGGCCCGTCGCACATGGCTGAGCAGCACGTGGCGCAACGAACTGGCCCCAGGCTGTGTCTTACAGAACTTGTATTGTAAGTATACCAACTTCGAGATGGCTTTTATATCTGGCCCCAACTAACACCGCCATAGTGTAATCGTAGTGAGCGTGGCTTTGGCAGACCCGCATACATGGGGCCAGAATGTATCCATGGCGATGCAGCGTCTGTTTCAGGAATTCTAAGACAAGCGAGGTCGTCTGGAGAGCCCAAAGTCAGTTAAAAGGCTTCGTCTCACCCACATCTGCATTTGGAAAGCAGTGTCAGAAGAGAGACGCGGTGAGCCAGCGTGCTTATCGGATATAAATCCTAGCTCGGGGATCCATAGTAATATGCTTCGGACTTTTGTCCGCATGAGATTCATGGCGGCTCCAAAGTGCCGGTGGTCAACTGCTAATGTAATAGCAATCACTTCTGCTGACCAGGAAAATCCTGTTGCTAAGTTTGGGACAGTACAGACAGTGCACATATTAACATGCTATAACATGCTATCACGCATGTCGCCATACTACCTGAGAGGACGTGACCGCCTAAGCTCAGTGAAATGCTGAGACAGGCTCGGAAAGACACGGAACCCAGTTCTGCCTTAAGCTAAGAGTCGGTCTGGCCAGTGATCGGGTGAACAAAGGCCCGATAAACAGCGAGGGAGTGATGTGGTTGGTTGGCCATGGCGATCAGAGGGCCCGTTCGCCGTAACGAGCTCAATGGCGCGATTGACAAGCTCAATTGATGGGAGAAAGATGAGCCTGTGTGTTGATACTGATAGAAGAGAGAGAGACAATTGAGAGCGTGAGTGAATCGAGGCCAGTAGAAGAATAAAAGAAGCAGCTGTAGGGAAAAGAAGAGGTGTTTGTGTGGTTTGCAGGGGGCCTACACCGGACGGCCCCGAAGGGAAGGGAAGCGGGCTTAGATAAGCCGCCTGCCGAATTCCGCCTAGCCGCAGGGGAAAGTTTGTTCCCAACATCTCCGTTGAGGAAGTTGAAGATAACAGAATCTCCCTTCCTCTCCTCCAGCTCCTCTATACCCTCCCCGGTTGGACCCTCCCTCTCGTCCATCATGTTGTTCCGCGCTGCGGTCCGTCAGTCCGCGCCCTTGAGGCGTCAGGCCCTCACTCCTCTTGCTCGTCGCTCCGTCACCACCGACGCCGCCTCGTCGCATGCTGAAAATGTCCCCCAGGTTCGTTGAGAGCTCCCTGGATATCCCGGATTGACCTCCGCAATGGCCCTGGCTAATGCGATTTCCATCTATCTACAGGAGGATGACAAGCCCTTCACTGTCCGCCTCTCCGACGAGAGCTTCGAGACCTACGAGATCGACCCTCCCCCGTACACCCTGGAGATCACCAAGAAGGAGCTCAAGCAGATGTACTACGACATGGTTTCGATGAGGTATGGCCACCGTTTGGCCCTTTGCTTTTTCTTTCCACAAGCCTCATGCAGAATCTAATCTATCGCTCAGACGCATGGAGATGGCCGCCGACCGTCTTTACAAGGAGAAGAAGATCAGAGGTTTCTGCCACTTGTCTACCGGTCAGGAAGCCGTCGCCACCGGTATCGAGCACGCTATCACCCGCGACGACAAGGTCATCACTGCCTACCGTTGCCACGGTTTCGCCATGATGCGCGGTGGTACCGTCCGCTCCATCATCGGTGAGCTGCTCGGTCGCCGTGAGGGTATCGCCTACGGAAAGGGTGGTTCCATGCACATGTTCGCCCCCAACTTCTACGGCGGTAACGGTATCGTCGGTGCCCAGGTCCCCGTCGGTGCTGGTCTCGCTTTCGCCCAGCAGTACAACGAGGAGCCCACCACCAGTATCGTCCTCTACGGTGACGGTGCCTCCAACCAGGGTCAGGTCTTCGAGGCCTTCAACATGGCCAAGCTGTGGAACCTCCCCGTTCTGTTCGGTTGTGAGAGTAAGTCATAGTCCTCACGCCACTCCATCCAAGACAGCCAAAGCTAATTCCTTTTCTACTAGACAACAAGTACGGTATGGGTACCTCCGCCGCTCGCTCCTCCGCCTTGACCGAGTACTACAAGCGTGGTCAGTACATCCCTGGTATCAAGGTCAACGGCATGGACGTCCTGGCCACCAAGGCCGCCGTCAAGTACGGTAAGGACTGGGCCGTGGCCGGCAACGGCCCCCTGGTCTACGAGTACGTCACCTACCGTTACGGTGGTCACTCCATGTCCGACCCCGGTACCACCTACCGTAGCCGTGAGGAGATCCAGCGCATGCGCAGCACCAACGACCCCATCGCCGGTCTCAAGCAGAAGATCCTCGACTGGAACGTCTGCTCCGAGGACGAGCTCAAGTCCCTCGACAAGGCCGCTCGTGCCCACGTCGACGAGGAGGTCGCCATCGCCGAGAAGATGCCCGCTCCCGAGAACACCTCCCGCATTCTCTTCGAGGACATCTACGTCCGTGGCTCCGAGCCCAAGTGGATGCGTGGTCGCACTGTCGACGAGACCTTCTACTACTAGATATACCCATACCACTCAAATCCAAATCTAGATATGTTTCTTTAAAACACAAGGCTCCCTATTTTCCAGTGTGAAGAATGAAGCTCAGTTGGAAGAACTCTGGATGATGATGACAAGGCGAGAGAAGAAAAAGAAAGAAATAGGAGGAGCGAGTGAGAGGAAGGTCATCCTTTTGTTTTTCTTGTTAAACACAAAAGTTTAGACCGCGCACACACATCACGCACCATACCATTTGGGATTGGCAGGCTCCTACCTACTTACTACGCAAAGGCATCCATACCATGGATATGTTTACTATGTAATTTAGCCCGGGAAATTTTTCTGTTTTTATTTATATTTTTGCATTACTCCAAACCTCATCTTGAAGTTTCAGATTCTCCTAGTATGTCTCTACTCATAATAAAGCATTAAGTCGGGGAATACACCTCTGGAGATCCATTAGATGCCTGTCGGTGGTATTTACTCGGCACTACTTCATACAGATATGGACCTTGGATGTAGTGAAAGTATAGGTAGGTTATATATGTATTGTTTCCCCGAAAGGTCATAGTGAATATATGAGAAATTGAATAGAATGGAAATATGAAAAGAGAAGAGAAAGGATGTCGCCAACAGTCAGTCGGTCAGTCACTCAGTCAAGTCACATATCCGCACTGCAGCATTCAAAGACAATAGGAATCGAAAAGAAAGCTAATAAAAGACATAGGATATAAGATAGTCGACATACTCGTCCATGGGTATCATATGGTGAAATCAAAGGAGGCACGAATATTTAAACAGAAAGCAGGAGGATGTGAATAATATGAGAGAAAAGAAGAACGAGGAAATAAGAAAGAACGAGAGACAGAGAAAGGGTTCTCAAGCAGGAGGATGTGAATAATATGAGAGAAAAGAAGAACGAGGAAATAAGAAAGAACGAGAGACAGAGAAAGGGTTCTCAAGCAGGCTCCTGTCTCAACATCTCAAGGATCATTTCCTGCGTCCGCTGCACCGAGTCCAATTTCTCTTCGAGTGTGGCTCGATCTTTCTCTAGCTCGGCACGCACTTCGGCGCGCATTTCCTGACGGAGCTCATCCTTGAGTTTGTTGATGAAGTCGGATGATAAGTGCGTAAGTCCGGTTTGTGCGACGGAGGCAGGAGGGGCGTTATTGGTAGTTGTGTTGAGTTCCGCTGGTTGAGCGTCCCGGCGTTGTTCGCGAGCACGGGATCTGGAGGGCGACGTCGGTTTTTTGATCGCAGATGAGGTAGGCTGGGTGTTAACCGAGTCGAGGTGACGGTTGAGTTTTCCCAGGGTCTCCAGCATAGCGCTCATCATGGAGTTGTCCGTCCCTGATGGCGGATTATTTGTTGCAGCAGCAGCAGCAGCAGCCGCTGCTGCTGCTACAGTCGTGGATGGCGTCGCCCGCTGTTGTGTCGCAAGCCCATCCGGAACACTAATCGCTGGCGACGGGGTCTGTAGTCCCTGATTCGAAAACATACTGTCGAACCCTGGGGGTAGTCGCACTGTGCTCTGCGATACAGGAGTCACAGGTCCAGGTTGGTGTTGGCTGACAGTAGGAAGTGGGCTTGTTGTGCCTTTCCACTCGTCACTGGGACTCATAGTCCATGTGTCCCATGGCCGGTCTTTCCTCTTTCTCGGTTTGCGCGAATCGCGCTTCTCGATTCGCCGTGCCTCTGCGTCCTCCCATCTCCGCCATGTAGGAATCCATGCGTCCACTGCTGCCCGCCACCGGGGATTCGACAGGTCTTCGCTCGCGTCCGCGCCCTTGTCGCGCTGTTCGTCGAGGAACTTCATCCGCTGTTTTGTAACCAACTCCACTTTACGACGCACCGAATGCCACGAGTATGGGTGTCCCTGGTCCTGCGTAAACTCTTCTGTAACAGTCATCCACCATTTACAGAGATTACTACGCTGTCCGAATTCGCTCGCATGCCGGTTGCAGATATTGAACAACGAGACTTCTTCCAGGGTAGTCAATCGCTTTCCATGCTTGCGCGACCGATCGCCGTTTGGCGCGCCATCGGGATCGTCGTCATGGTCTTCCATTGGATAGGGTCTAACGATACTGGCTGCTGCTGCATGGAGTGCGGCTCGATTAGCCGCGGTGCCGTTAGGCATAATCCCAGCGGTAGTCGTAGGTCTATGTCCGGATTGTCGGGAAATATTCCTTCCCTGAGCTAAATTATCGGGCGATGTGCCGTAGTCGGGATCTGCGAGAGCGTCGGTGTGGGTGGGGTCGCGCGCACCGGGATCCGTATGGTCACTTGCTTCGCTTTCGAGGGCCTCAGTCAGTGGTTGTTGGGATCGCGAATCGATAACGGCTGGTCCAGGTTGGCGTGTTTGCGGGCGTGCCGGTTGGTTATTGTGTTGATTGGAATGGGGATGAGGATGGGAGAGGGGAGTTTGCGGCTGCGGCTGCGGCTGCGGTGGTGTTTGGGAAGGCTGCGGCGACGGGTGTTGTTGCTGATGCTGCTGCTGGGCTATACGAAGATTGGAAGATGACAAGGTGGGAAGAGGTGTTGCGCGCGAGATCATGGAAGGGAGCCATCGTAACCCAGGCACTTGTAGGGAGGACTGAGTAGTGGAGGAGGGGGAGTCGATGCGAGGTCCAGAAGAGGCGGCGGCGGCGTTGGTCGTGGAGCCATGCCAGGGATACATTGACATGGTCTGTGATACTGGACTGTCTGTGCGACTGGCGGGGTATAATAAGGAGGACAATAATCAGAAAAAAGGACGATGAGGATGAAGCAGCAGCAGTGGACGCACTGCCGGCGTGCTGGTGATTGAAGAGGAAAGAAAGAGGAAAAGGAAAGTCGAAGGTCGAAGTCGAAATCGAAATGAAAATTGCTCGGTCGGATTTGCAATTTCGAGGGTTGACAGGCGAAAAGCCCCCGCCGATCGGGGCCCGGCGTGTATTTTTCAGCTGACGGTAAGCCGACCACCACGGTTACTTCCCTTTTGGGCATGTATACAATACATCCATGATAAAATATCGAGTCAAGATGCTGGACAAAAGAGATCGCACAGGCTGTTGTAATTAGTTGAATATACAAAGTGAGGACAATAATATGAAGTGAGGATATATTTCATTGGTGATTTACATTTGTGCTCATCCAGCTCCAACACCGCTGCAACATGACATTGACCCTCGCCTTTCAACAGAGGACCAGACAGATAGATATAGAGATACACGGTGAGCACACCGACAATGCAGAGAAGATCTAAGAAACAACCAAACCAGCGACCCAGTAATACAATAAGACTGTGGAACATGCCCGCAGAACAGCGAAGATAAACCCAAAGAACAAAAACAGATGGGGGCAACTAATTAGTACAAGCATTTCTCATGCATCTACCGCCGTCTCAGGTACCAGTGGTATGCCAGCGCTCCAGTCGCAAGGTTGAAGGGCGATGGAACCTCCGACAAGCCCGGACGAACAACGGGGTGGCGCAGGTAGACGGCCGCACAAGCCTTAGGGTTCACTTCCAGGTAGCGAGGGATCGTGGCAAAGGCGCTCATGAAGTCCCGCGGCCGCCAGGGCGTAGCGTACGGCTTCGAATGATCGATCGGGTTATCACGCATCTGGATAAGGGCACGACGAAGAATCTTGAACTCCTCATCGGTCAACTCGGACGTATCCACCTCCTGTTCGGGGTTCTCAGCAGCCTGGCGGAATGCCTCGGACAGCTTATCGCCGGGCTGAGTCTCGCTGTCTACCTCAGTAGCAGCCTTGGTATCGGTGGACTTCTCGGAGTTGGCAGATGTGGTATCCTGTCTTTCCTTGTTGCCCGACTTCTTCGTCTTCTCTGCCTTCTTGGCCTTGAGCAGCAAAGTCAGCTCGGAAAATTGAGCCTCCAGGTTGTCGGCGAGGACGTTTGAATCAGAGCGAGACAGCACGCGACGGACGGCCTTCTGGAATCCACGCAGCTCCTGCTTCCGCTTGGCGGGAAGCACCGACTTGCTGTCGGCCATGATGTTCTTGGCCTGCGACAGCATAGCCTGCAAGGTCTGGCGCGGGGACTGGACCTCTTGCTTATCCTCCTCCTTGGCCTCACTCTCTTCCTTGGCTTCCTCGGCTTCCTCGGCCTTTTTCTCCGCCTCCTTCTCCGCCTCCTTCTCAGCAACACGAGCCGCGCGCCGGTCGTACTTGTCCTTTGGAGCACCGGTGGCAAACATGACACGCTCGGGTTCGACCTGGAAAAGATCACCAGGGTTGAGCAGGTAACCGGGGTATCTCATCTGTCAAACGTAACCGATCAGCTTTCGATGGCAGCGCTTAAATGAAAAGGACCATGCAGCGTCTCAGGCACACTCACCTTCTTTCCATTGACAGTGACCGCTCCATGAATGACAAATTGCCGCGCCTGCCTCGTACTGCTAGCGAACATAGCCCGGAAGACGGCCACATCCAGCCGGCGCTCTAGGGGAGCAAAAGTCGCCTGTGTATAGGGAAAAGGCCTTTCCAGTTGGTCGGCGTCGGCTTTCTCGTATTTTGAGAGTTTAAGATGCGCGGCTGTGTCAGAACGCGACTCAACACCCATACCACGGCCGGCAGACAAGGCAGAACCATCGTCTTTGGCCAGTTTGGCGGGATCCATGGGCACCACGCTACGAATGCGGGGAGAAAACATGCGCACCCAGTGCTTCTCGGAGACTTGTTCGCCATGATATCCACGGGCTATCGACTTGGCATCCCATTTTTGCTGGAAATGAGTTCGGAACATGGGGTTCTTGACGGAGAACCGCTTCATGTTATATAGGTTCCATTTGCTCCATGATTGCCGGACTTTCTAAGCAAAGCATACCAGAATTAGCAATTGCGGCGAGATGAGCAAGGAGACAGAGCAAGAAAAAAGAAAGAAATGTCCTTACCGGCTTGCTCAGATGCTGGGTCGCCCTGTTCCTCATGATGGCGAGATGGGCAGGGAATGGCCTGCTAGCAGATGTCTTCTTGTCTGTCTCGCTGCCCGTCGGCCTCTTTTCCCATGCATTCCCGGCCGCCCAAAACTTCGCAGATGCACGTGATATCAATCACGTGTGGATATATTACTTTATGCCAACTTTCTGAGGCATCAAGAGCCTTTGATAACAGGCGATTCTGATTGGCGGAACCAAGCTCGCTTGCCATTAGCGTTCTTTCACCGCCTCCACCAGCGGGTATATAATCTTCGCTCGCCCGCCGAACTTTTAGAATCTTTTCTTCTTTCTTTTCTTCATACTTACCTTGTTTGGGTGGCTGCGATCAAGAAGGCGGTCCACCACGGACTGGTCCCTGCATTGCACAGCGCGGCGGAACAATCCGTTCAACGGCCTTCGGGTCATTGACAGGCGTATTCTTTGGCACTCCTCCACTTTGTGGAATCTCATTTCTTTTCATCATTTCTTCGCCTTGCGCGGGGGTATGGAGAAGAGACAACTGTAGAAAGCTGTAGTCAATGTAGTTTGTTGAGTTCCATCAGGGATGCGTGTCAGACAAGTGCCAATAGTATCTTCTATCCTTGGCCTCACTGGAGAGAAGAAGCTCTGCTTGTTGTGCTGAGACGCTACTCGTCGACCCGCCACACACTACGGCTAACTAACTCCCGCTGGGCGTTTAGTTATTACTCCTATTGAGCCACTTCTGTCTAGAATGAGCTTCCTGTAGAATATTCTGGGGCAGGCAATGCTCAAGTCTTTAGTTCCGAACGTCAATTTAATTTCACCTTACTGGTAGGTTATATGTATGTTTCTGTGAATCAGGGAGCCCATATGAGAAGTCAACTGCTTGGTACTGGTTGAATTATATATATCTGACTACCATTCATCCGATGGAGATATACCACGCTTTCCGTGCTTGTAACCGAGCATACTGGAAGGTTGTCAATCCATTGCACACCCAATCCTGCCGGGCGATGTTAGTGGACTGCAGGTGCTGTTTCTGAAGCTAAAACTACATCAGCTCGGTATTATCGCTACTGCTAATGATGCGAATTACCTACGCAGTATCTACTTAGGCAATTTCCCCTCCTGAACTATTCTCACAATCTATCGTTTGTTTTGCTCGCCTCCTATATCTCGGTAAAGACCCAATCTATCTACGTAAATATAATCACAGTTATACCCTTTCCCTCTTTTCAACATATAGTAGCGGCATCCACCGCGCAAGCAAACTAGCAATGGCGGAAGTAGTCTTACATTGAATGACACCCTACTGGGGATAAAGAGGCTGGCAAAGCAGAGTGTGCGCTGTGGAATATATGAGGACTCACGCCATCTTCCATACTAGTAGACAACTAAAACAAAGAAAGCCGGCGTGGGGCGACAGGGTTTATTTGACAACCTGTTTGGGAGCGGATGAAATGAATTGACTGCTGTATATGAGATCTGTTTGCGAATGATGAGAATACTCCCTCTAATTAGTGAACATGAGGATGAGATCCACTTAGGCAGCCATTTGTCCTCGCATATAAACCCCAAGCAATTATGTCTCCTGGTTGAGTCGTCGTCTAGACCACTATTTATCCTGAATATCATCTTAATCATCACATTACACCCCATCAAGCTCCCTCTCACACTATAATAATGATCCGGACACAAGTCTCTTTCATTGCTGAAAACGCCCTCTCGCCTCAGTCGAGGAATATCTCTACATCCTCACCCAAGCCTCGACAAGCGTCTCGAAAACAACCAGCAATACAATCAAAGGTCTGGCTGGCACTGAGATGAGAAATACGATTCGGTGGGCGGTTTAGATGCTTATGAGTATATCAGTGATTGGCATTACTTTAAATAGTCAACCGACTAGAGACTTTTGCATTATCATATTCTATCGTATATCATTACTCAGGTATCGTTGGTATCGTTGTATAAATATTCAGACATCCACCCTTCCATATCCGACCATAGATTACTCGCTAACACTCATCAGATCAGCAGATCGTCTCTGGCCCAGCTCCAGGAAGCAGCTCTAATCCTCCCGCTTGGAATTCGGAAACGCCTCCTCCAGCGCCTCAGCTTCCTGCGGAGTCACGGCATCATCGAGGATTTCATGGGCCATTTCAACTGTGCCGTCGTCGATTCCCGCCTCTAGCACTAGTCCCTCGCTGAACGCTAATCGTGTCATTACCACCAGGAACTTTTGCTTACCGCCAGGCACGCGGGACAGCTTGGGCTGCAGATCTGCCTGTTCGCGATGGCGCTGCATCACGTTGTAGACGAGACACATGAGTCCGTTGACCAAGGCTGCGTGGAGGTCCTTCTCGGGCGGTTGTGAATAAAGAGCGTCCAATTCATCGTGCATCACCCGGATTAATCGCGCCAGTGCAGTGGGGTGGGATGCGATGACCATGCTGCCGTGCGTGCTGTCCGGTATACGGGGATTGAAAGCGACGCTAGTAAGGAAGGCTAATGCTTCTTGCCGCATGCCGCAGATCTCGTCTGGGCTGTAAGGCTCCTGTCCTTCATCAAGCAGCGGTGGCTCGCTTAGCAGGTTGGCGACGCGATCCACGATGTAGTTCTCGATCGTGAGTTGAAATTGCTCAGTGTCTTGGACGGGGCCGAATGAGTCGGCGCGGATGCTGGCCGACAGTAAGCTTAGCATTAGTGTTATGTCGTCAATGCGCTGCGAGCAGTTCAACATCGTCAGCACAAAGTCGTAGCGCACATGTCGCCACAGCTCAATCACATCCTGTTCTACGTGCATCCGGAAGCATGCCATGTCATACAGCAGGCCAAGAACTTTAGTCGAGTCGACCAGCGGTTCCAGTTCGGACAAGGGTGTCTTTCGCGCCTGACCTAGGTTTTGTCGGGAGACGGGCGAGGCCTTGAACCGTGGGATTGCGTTGACTTCCGCGGATACTTGCAGAACCGGCACCAGGTGTGCGTACAAGTCATGATCGAATTCTTGTAGGTCCTCCAATATGAGGTAGTGCATGATGGAAATGAACATCGGGATAGGTTGAAAGAACTTTTCTGTCAATGCACGAGACCACAACGATGTGATCGCCCGCGCGTACTCCACCATGTAGTTACCAAGATCAAGCTTCTCAGTTTCCTCCAAGAGGATGGTGGAGAGCATGCGCTGTGGCTCTGACGGGAATGCCAATCCAGCCATGACCTCGATATCGGGCTTCTCATCCGGGTATGTTCTGTGGTTCATAAGGCGCTTTATAATGCTGGGGTCCCCAAAGTTAGGCACCGCGCCTATTTGAGCTTTATCCGGCATAGCATCTAGCATTGCATCATCCGACAGATCTTCAGCCAAATCGGCTGCCATTGGCTCCGCTTGCGGGCTTAACTGCAAGGGTGTCGTGGTATCCTGACTGTGCCTTCTTTTCCTTTTCCCCGGTACGAGTGGTGTGATTCGCTTGGAACGTGCTGACTTGCTGGGAGAAACAGCGAGGATTTCATCATCGTCAAAGCCGTCGCGGAATGGTAGCACCTTCGACTTCTTTGGAGTCACCGGTGGTGCCTTTTCCTCCGTTCGACCTTTTGCCTTGAGCTGATTGGCACGCATGGCCTCCTCTGCTAGGTCTTGCCTCAGAAAGGCGTTTTCCGTGGCGAACATCTTGCCCTCCGCACGAGCCGCCGCAACCTCTTCCTCATGTTTCGCTATCTCGTCCGCCATCGCCTTTCGCAAAGCCGTCAGTTGGCGATCATAATCGGCGGTGAGTTTGGCCTGGTTGGCTCGGATGATGGAGATCTCGCCGGCTTTCGTTGCAGCCATTGATTTGGCTGCAGCCAGCTCCTCAGCCATTTGTTTGTGTCGCGCGCTCTCTAAAGCCAGCTATCGAGACAGTCAGTTCAGATGAACTCAAGGAGGGTAATTTCGCATAACTACCTTTTCACTCAGCTCAGCATAGGCTCTGTGTAAGTCAGAGAAATGGGATGCGCCATCTTCTTCGACCTCCATGGGGTCCAGTAGATCCCCATAGTCATCGTCGCCCACTGCCGTCGCAGCAGCAGCAGCCTTTGGCTGATGTTGAGCTGCTGCTGCAAAAGTCGCCGCCTGATCCAGTGCAGCATTTGACTGAATTGGAACCCCATTGTCCAGAACCTCGGCGTCCAGCTCCCCTATATCCCAAACATCGTATTCGTTACTCAACCCGGTATGCAAAGCAGGAGGCGGTTGTAGGGAAGCGTTGGAGGTGAATGCATTCTCGGAAAAAGCCCCATGGTTCTGATCGGAAAAAGGTCGCGACGATCTCTTTACGTCAGAGACAGACTCTTGGTGTTGTTGTGGCTGGTGATGTTGTTGGGCAGGGTTTGGGGCCTGAGTTGCGCGATAAGCCTTCTGCTCCAATTGGAACAAGGTACCGGGAGGGATGTCGTCGAAGCCATCGTCGGAGAAGAAATCATCGTCGTTATCTTCCATGCCCTGAATTGGACGATCGCCATGAACGGAGAGAGTGGGGATTATTTAAAAAGGAGAGCACTAGTTGGTTGAGTTTCGGGGGGGGAAGGATGAATGGATGAATGTTGAGTAAAACGAAGTGAAGGAGAAATGCGGGATGCGGAAAAGTTGACGTCGTGTTGGGAGGAAATCCAGAAGGACCTCCAAGTTGGTTTGCTTTGCCAGTTGCTGCCTCACGGGATCTCATTCTCTTCTTCCCTCTTCCAACTTCTCCTCTCCTTCTCGCTCCAACAACCCACACCTTTCCTACCGTCGATTTCTCCCTTCGTGACGTCCTGGATTGACCGGTTCCATAGCAGTTTGGATAGTCTCCAAGACCTAAGCTCTTTTCTCCAGGGGATCTACTTGACTTGCCCACCGCTCGTGCTCCATCCCGCTGTTCCCCGGTCGCTATTATTTCACATGAATTTTCGCTAGACGACGATCATTGCTGCTTCGCCTGCTCCGTCTCGTCTCCCTTTTTCCTGCTGAATTCTATTGACTCCTGCGCTCGCGCGTCTCGCCTGGTCGGTCAAAT